GTTTAATAATAAAATGTAACTCCCTTTCTCTAAGCGTGGCTTGGTTTTTCTCCCGTCTTCTGCAACAGTCCCAGCTGGTGGGGCTTAGAGTGGGCACAGGGGAGCTCTTCCCTAGCAAATGGGGGTAGAGAGAAGCCTGCGGCGCTGAGGTCACATGCGTGACTCTGGAAGACAGCTGGTAGGAGAAGGCCGCTGTTCCACAGGTACCAGAGAACCCGAGATTCACATGGGCACAGTCAGCCAGGCACCCTTACCTCCCAAAGCATGGACACCTCTTCCCTCTTTTGCAACCCCACCCCTACCCCACTCCTCCTGAGCCGGCCCCCTATTGAGTCAGTCACATCTTTCTTCTCCAAGGACTCTGCCTAGAGATGGATGGGGAGATATTAGCCCTTGGCATTTCTTATTCCTCCAGTGCAGGGTGGGAGCCAAGCCCAGGGTGAGGGGGTGGTTAGGCTCGGGAGGCAGCAGGGCCTCAGGGGAGCTTCTCCTGTGGGCCGGTTTCACTGTTAGCTCTCACTCCCAGCAACACCAATAAAAAAGATGATAATAATTAAGTATAATCACAATATGTTTTTATTGATTTATTCCCAAGTAGCCTACTTTCCCTGGCCCCCATCATTACCTATTTCATCATTCCGAGGGGGTGGTGGGCGTTAAATGTGGCTCTAATAAAAAGTAATAGCTGCCCATTGCCTGCCCCCGCAGCTCCGCTGTCCCTCAGCACAGCCCGTAGGCAGAGGGGACGCGGCAGTGTGGGAGGGTGCTGTGCGGAGGGGGAAGGAGGCACTAAGCCCATGTGGAAAGTCGTAGAAGCAGCGGAGTTTGCCTTCTCTTTTGAGCCTTTCACCTTCTTCCAGGTCTACACCTCCCCCCAGAGCAGCGTCTGGTCTTCATTCCCTGTCCCCTCCCAACGCCTCTGTATGAGACTGACCAAGCCAAGCACTTATCCACCTGCCGTCGGAGGATGGCTGTTGTTGTTTTAAAAAAGGATCTTCGTAAAGATCAAGACCCTACACACAAAAATGCACTACAAAATGGCAATCGGTGATATTATTAAGCTCTCGGGGATCTTTGTATTCTTGGCTCAGAGGAATAGGTGGAATTTCGAACTTCTGGTGAAGGCATGGGGGCTGGGGACTCCGCCCGGAATCCCTGGCCGCCAGCCTGCCCAGCGCTGGGCTCCCCAGCCCGCCCTTCCCGGGGAGGCGGTGGGGGTGACGAGTCCCTGGGGTCCCCTCTGCCGTTTCCTCCCCACTTTCCCTCTAGTCCCTGAGCTCTTGTCCCAGTGAAGTAAGGCCTCCTTCCAGCTGGTGCCTGCACCCACCTCGAGCCCGTTCGCGTTTTAGGGAGGGGAAGACGAGGCCAAGGGGGGAGCCAGTGATGAGCCCCGAAACTCTGGAGGCCAAACCTCCTTCGCTTCCTCCCCCCCAACCCCCCAACCTGCTCCACCATTTTGTCCTCGCTTCCCATCCCCTCATCTTCCCGATCAGGGCGCCGCTCAGCCAGGGGCCCCACCCGCAAGCCGGAGGGTCACCGCCCTTTA